TAGAGACGGGGTTTCACCATGTTGACCAGGATGGTCTCGATCTCTTGACCTCGTGATCCACCCGCCTCGGCCTCCCAAAGTGCTGGGATTACAGGCTTGAGCCACCGCGCCCGGCGAGCATGCAGTTTTATTAAATAGGTATACATGTGACATGGTGGTTTGCTGCACCCATCAACCCATCATCTAGGTTTTAAGCCCCGCATGCATTAGGTTTTTGTCCTAATGCTCTCCCTCCCCTTGCCCCCCACCCCCTGACAGGCACCAGTGTTTGATGTTCCCTCCCTGTGTCCATGTGTTCTCACTGGGATAACTATTTTTTTAAGACAGGGTTTTACTGTGTCACCCAGGTGACACACATCCCATGGTGGTTTGCTGTATCCATTCCCCTGTCATCTACACTGCACCCAGGCTGGAGTGCAGTGGCACAATCATAGCTCACTGTAGCCTCAGTCTCTCAGGCTCAAGCAATGCTACTGCCTCAGCTTCCTGAGTAGCTGGGACTACAGGCATGCACCACCACGCTCAGCTAATTTTTAAATCTTTTGTAGAGACAGGGTCTTACTATGTTGCTCAGGCTGGTCTCAAACTCCTGGGTTCAAGCTATGCTCCTGCCTCGGCCTCCCAAAGTGTTGGGATGACAGCCATTGTGCCCAGTCAGAACTATTTATTTTAAATTAGTTTGTAAGAGTTATTTGTACGTTAACAATCTTAATTGAATGTTTGTTGTATATGCTGTGAAATTACTTAATTTGTCATTAATCTTTTATCTTTTTTAAACAATGTTTTGCTGTATGAAAGCTTTACTTTTTGTTATGAATTTATCAGCATTCTCATTTATGGCTCTAGGTATTATGACATGCTTAAAGTAGCTTTTTCTGCACCAAGGTCATACAAATATCCATTCATGGATTATCATAAAATATGATAGAAAATCATACTATCATATTTTATGATAGAAAATCCCATATTTTATATATGATTTTATTTTGTTTTGTCCTTGATCCATCTAGAATTTATATTTTGCATAGCATGGCAAAGGGCTCACACCCAACATCATATTAAATAGTCTCCTTTTCCCCACTGATATAAAATGCCACATTTACCATCTACTAAAGTTCCATATATATGTTATTATAAGGTATAGTTAGATACTATGTAGTGAATAAAATATCTTAGAATTATTCAAGCCTAAGAGGATATACCTACTGTAAGGATGGGTTTTGGTATCAACACAGATGTTTATACATAGACAGAAAATTATGTCTGTGTGCTTAGCTGTC